GGCTTAGATACAACCTAATTTTATTAGTGCGTCGTAAATAATTTAAAGTGACCGGATAAAGAATTATCATACCACAGGTTCAAAAAGGTTATCTCCCTTTCGATAAGAACATTTTCCAGAACAGTTGGCCATTTGAAATTGATGGTCGTCGCGTTCGGAGCTTCGTGTCCTAGCTTTAAGGGTCTTTACAGTGAATGTCTCGTGTTCTTCTATGTATGCCCTACTAGTTTTATAAGATGAATCATAGGAAGTCTGAAATCAAAGCTGGTAATTTTTAACTCTTTTAGATTATACTTGTAATTGAATGTGGACTGCTAAACATATAGTGTTCGGTCTTCGGTTATTTTCTTAATTTTTCATTCAGTACTATTATCGTTATTAATAATAAAATAATATTAAAAATAAATATCATTTTTGTTTGCTTTAGCTTACATAAAATGTACAAAGAAAGTGGTACAAATTTATATATATATTCATAACATGTAACTCTTTTTCTTTTCAGTTTTTTAAAAATCGTGGTTTTTCTGCAGGCATACAGAATGTTGTGGTTTTTGATGAACGAAAACAACTGGTCTCACAGATTGCAATGCAAATATAGTGCATTTTCGAATCTTCAACATATCTGAAGTATTTGTGGACTTCTATATATATTCTGACGATTCGAAATGTTATGTAAATCGAAATTAAATGTAAATCTATAAGAGCCCATTACGTATGTAATAACAATATTTACACACTTCGACTGCCCCAGTTAAATCATTTTTGAAGTGATAAAACCCTTGAGTATGGTTATTTCTTGAAAATCGATTAATTAAAGATTGTAAAGTAATTTATAATTGTTAAAAGCTATTTTTATAATTTGAAAATATATTTTAGGACCTTGTTGTCGCACAAATGGAGTCGATGTTACAACGTTTTATGCTTATTGATATTTCAAACCGGATCGCGTGTTTCTTTTTGTTTATTAATCGTCTTCTAATCATCGGGACTTTGCCGACTATTTTTAGTTCGGCATACTCATGTAATATACTGCAAACGTTCCATATAAGTAGTTTTAACATAAAGGAATACAATCATGTCGATAAAAAAATTGTGGTGAGCCTTTTTAGATCTGCGGGATGAGAAACCTGGTCGTTTACCTATCTTATCTTTTTAGTCTATCTTAACAGTCTTGGCATGCCATATGCATTTCGTCTTTAGTTTTTGATCAGGGGTATAAACAGCATGAGGCAAGACAACCTCGAAGACCCCAACAAGACAGCTCACAGTTTCGTTATGGGTCAAATTACAGACCCACAACTGTAACTTAACGTCCAACGAACTCTCATATCTGCTTGAGATTATGCAATGGACAAGTGAAAAGCAACAATTAAAGAAAAATCAATCATTGTTCAATAAAAAATAGAGTAAATAAAAAACTTCTGTTCTAATTTTAATCAGTCTTTGACCCCAACGTAACTAACCGTGCTATACCTGGGCCTGCTTCTATGATTCTTAACTGACCAGGGTTTTTGAGCAAAATACATCTTCAAGGTGTAAAACATGTTCTAGATCACTGTTCACCGTGCTCACTTACTATCAAGAATCGACATACCATTCATTTTTTTACCTTTGCTTTCTTTATTAGTATAGTGTAAGATTACCACTCATTGATTCGACCAATTCGGATGAACCCGTACAGCCTATGAAGTTCGTCAGCACATTCAAATATCAAGAAGATGCGCACAGTCCATGAGTTTTGAGACTCATTACCTGACCAAATGAACGGAAATTACAATCTACAAAAAAGTTCCTTACTTTAATTCTCATCTAAATCCTGATATTTGCACAATAATGGTTGGTTGTAAAGAGGCCGAATCCTTGTAAACTTTTTTTTTTAAGTGCCAATATTTAAAATGTCTCTTCATACTATTTAAAACGGAATTATTCTGTTATTGATGTTGAAACTTGATTATTCGAGTTAAATCATCGACTATTTTTATATTTTTCGTGCGCGATCGAATCGATTCACAACATGTCTCATTCTTATTTTGGAATTACATTAACGGTGTTCTTCTTGTATGTAATTTAACTAAGTTAAGTAGCAAGTGTAATCAATTCCAATCTCATAAAATCTGTTGTGTCCTTTCTAAAGGATTGTCTTCCGTCTGTCAGTTGAAAATTGTTTTAGGTGATGTCATCTTGTGAAAAATTAGAGAAAAAAACGGTAGTTGAACGTTTCCGTCCCACGCCAAATGTTGTAAGGAGGCCCAAATTACATTTGTCCTTATCTGCAAGCCCTGTTGAAGACATGCCTCCGTAATTTGCACACAGAACATAATGACTGGACGGCCCACGTTTACAATCAAGGATAAAACCTACGGTTCAGGTTGGGCCCGAGTCGACATGCCCAAATTGCATGTGCGGTTGTTTTAAATTTTAAATTAATTAATTTAAATTTTGAAGATCTATGTTTTATGATACTTTATGAGTAGTCACACGACGTCCACAAAGGCACTATATGTCTGCAATAGAGCAGGCATTTAGTTAAGAAATTATTTTATTTTGTACTGTTTAAGTATACTAAAAATGCATCAAATGTTTTATTCTTAAATAACTTATGTATTGTCGCATTAATTGAAATTTTTAAGTAACAAATAAAAACATTAGGTGAGCTTTGTTCAAAAAGGTTGGATAGAAGTTGAGGTTGGAAAGCATAAATTGTTATGTTATTTCACATTAAAAACACCCCTGTTAACATTGTTGTTTCACAATTGACGTCATTAAATGTTTTTGGATGGTCATAATCGGGAACAACTGGTTCGCGTGACGGATCGGATTATGCTTGGAACGTCGATGATTTCAGAACCATTTTCACGAATTGGTCATATTCATTAAATCACAATCGGAATCACTTGAAAGGCGGACGTGTCAGTACCGATTCGTAAGATTTCGAACCAATTCCGTCTGTGGCTGGACATCCGTAAGGCCATCTTATCAATATATGTCGGATAAATATTGTCGATATTTTAAGTAAATTGTTTATCAAATCTATTTTGTAATTGTCAAGCAAGAAGCGTTGCCCCAAGGGAAATAAATATTACTCAATATCAAATGTTAGTAAACATCTGCCAGCAATATTTACTGTATTAATTTTACTAACTTATTATAAAATAACAATCGCTTTCAAATGGGTTTTATATCAGGAATATTAATGTTAATTCATTGGATCTCAAGGTATAGATCTTTGTAGGTACCTATTCAATCCCTATGTTAAATTACCATTCTTACGCAAAATGGCGCCTTTTTATGCATTAAATTAATATTATTAAGTCCAGAAACTTACATTATTATTAGGGGTTATTAAGCGGTCGTAATCATTTTCAGATTGGTTGAATTTTTTCTTTTTTTCAAATTTTCAGTGGAACTTTTGAGAATTATGGATCGATGGACGCCATGTGTCTTCTTGCACACGTGCCTTTTCAAGCCTATCATAACTCCATCCCGTCTTAATGGTTTCTCATCCGGAGGGTTCTTTTCGATAGCCTTAAGTGCTCTTGAGACGACTTTGTCTCAACTCCTTTTCCTACTTTATATCCATTGATACGTTTCATCTTTAAAAAAAGGTGAATATCAACGGATCCGGTAAGGATAACCGTGAAATCCTATTCGCGGGACGCCAAGTCGTAACGAAGGAACCTAAGAAAAGCAAACCGTCTGGGACACAAATTACTTTAAAATTAACCACTGTCAGCATAAATCACATCGAAATTCCAATCTGGAAATTATTGCTACACCTACACCTCTACTGTCAGACTGCGCGAAAATTTAGCATGTAGAAATATTGCCAACTTGGTGTTAAAATGGCGTGTAATCTAATGTAATTCCAATTTTTTTCTATCTGGGCGTGAAATAATATATTTGGCCAAATTCTTCATCCTTGACTGGACCAGACTTGTCTAAGAAATTTTGACTTAAAGTAATATTTACACCCATATTACTACATCTGTACATCTGTGACATAGAAATATGGCATTATTGTCAAATTTTTATTTGATATTGTGAGATTAACTTATGCAAAAATTTTTCGCACGAATCCAAATCAAATCAAATCTGTAGAACTGTTACTTTTCAAATAAATACTCGGTAAACTTCAACTATTAGTTCTGATTTCTCTCTATTATAGATTTACGAACCACGTTTTCCATAGACAGAAATAAGTTTTTTTTTTTTTCCTTATGGTCTAGCATATTGGCCACAGAAATAAGTTAGTAATAGTTTTTACAAAGGGAAATAAAACGTTGAAAATACAACCGGTTGCCATCTAGTGGCGGACGAAGCACATCTCGCTCTTCCCCCCACACAAATATTTGTCTAAAATAGAACTCTCTAAGTTATTTCATCCGCTACCCAGCACGATAGATGAAAAAATACCAATTTTGTTTTATTTCCAACGTTGCCAAGTCAAACAATTATGTCAGTATTTGGGACAAACGGAATCGTATTGTGACGGCTACTGCACGCTCGGCGTCTCTTGGCAGCAGGGCTTTGACTAAAATACCCTTGTTGATTTTTATCCATGGCTCAACCCAGTTTTGATCATAGGAAATCGAAAAAAAAAACTCCATTGATAAGAGCGAAATGAGATTTTTACAGTTCAGATGCAAGCCTAGGAGGAGGTACGGGAGAGTTTCGATTGCGTTGCTAACTTTCTGAACAGTTTTAGACTTGTGATATCAGAAATTGATATGTTTATCGATCTCCACAAATTAAAGAACCAAAAGTTGGTACATGTATGTCTTGTGTAAAATAACCACCTTTTTGTCTCATTTTGAATTTCATTAGAATTGGATGGAACTTCAAATATATTCCCAAATTTGTTAAAGCTTTACAACGAGAGAAAGGTCAGACAACCACGTCTACAGTTTCATTACGTCGAAGATATCAAGAAGAACTCAAACAACTATGAAAATAATAATAATTTCCGATCATTTCGGTTGCCTTTCCACGCTGTTTTGGCCCGTTTGCCTCCTCTGGTTGGTAGGGTATAAGTAGGGTGAGGCAATCAATGTAACACATCACCAATCAAGATGGCGATGTTGCAGAACGCTCTGATAGCTTAAAATAGCGAGAATCGGCGGACTAATTACATCGAAAACGGTCAAAATACAGTTGTGAGATTTTTCTTACTTGGGCCAAATGTTAAACAAAATAAAGTTGACTTACTTTAATCCTCAATATGAGTGGAGTTTAACATTTGATGGATTTCCAGTTTGGTCGTATCTTATTATCCTTGTCTGCTCCTCGCTGTTTCGGTATCAGATGTTGATAAGGCAACTGGTGGATGTTTTGTCTTATAACATCCCTCTCCCTACTTATAATCATGACAATCTATTAAGTGGCGAAGTTATCGAAACGCAAATCATAGACTAAAACCTGGCGGACCAAAATGATTCGGAACTTCATAGTTGTGAGATTTCTTCTTGATATCTCTGAGGCGATTAACCTTGGAGATTGGAACGTTCAAACTATTTTAATACTCGTGAGATTTCTTCTTAATATTTCCAGGGTGATATCTGTATACATGGTTGTCTTTCCTCTCCTTATAAACCTTAAGGATAAGCAGACCAATTTGGCTGGAAATGACTAAAATGCCGGTTTATCACTTCGCAATCTCAAGAAGAAATGTAACAATTCCTTTAGACTTTCAAATTCCAGTATAGTTTGTTTTAACATGGGAGAAAGTATTAGTCTGAATTTGATAGTTTGCACAATTCGCCATTTTGCTAATTATCTTGAAATGATCAGAAAAACAATGGATTTGAAGGATGACTGGTATGGCTGGACTATGTTTATTAAACATCCTAATCTATTACGTCTTTTTTTAATTTAACGTGTTGTTTTTGATGATTAAGAATTGGAAATTTTGACGTGACGCTTTTCCTGTAAATTATCTTCGTACTCTTATCTGAGACAAATCCCAAAAGATAAGTTTCCCGGGATATTCAGTGTGCATAAGTATTCCTGGTTGAACATTACTGGTGGATTTTTCTTCTTAAATGCTGGGAATAAGGGAGGTAAGCTATCATAAAATCATTACAATTCTATCAGTAAAATCCGCCCAGTACCAACTTATTATTTTATTGCGGTTGAACAAAAAATTTCACTGTTATTAAAGTTGCTGAGTTGAATGACACTCGTGGGTGGAGTGAGTTCCGACCCAAATTCCATTTTATCGTAGATTCTGCCCTTGCGCAAAACTATTTCAGGGTGGTTTCCACTATTAACTTTTCATATTCGGTCTAACATTAATTTCTTTACATGTACTAATTACGTATCAATTTGTTTTACGATTATGTCTATGTGTAATTTTCTCATATATGAGCGCCGTAGCTTTACTCACTCACCTTTTCTCACAAACTCACTCTCTCCCTCTCCTCCTCCTCTCTATTTTTCTCACTCACACACTTTTTCGCACTGTTGTTACCTTCAATACGAGTACTAATTACGTGTCATTTAGTGTTTAGGACCACTACTGTGTATTTTTTCATATATGCCCGCGCCGTTGATTAACTCACTCTCTCACTCACTTTTTCTCACAAAATCATTCACTCCCTCTCCCCTTTTCTCTCTCTTTCTCACTCACTCACTCACTCTCTCTTACCCATTTAACTCTCTCTTTCTCACTCACTTTATGACTCCGTATGACTCCGTAATTCACTCACTTCCCCACTCTCACAATTTTACTCACTCAACCACTCACTCACTTTGTAAAATTTTAATGTTACTTTCATTACTTTACAAGTACTAATTACATGTCATTTAGTGTTTAGAACCACGACTTTGTGTTTTTTTTCGTATAGCCCTTAGATTAGCTTACATTCTTCTCAATCCTCACTGACTGAATTTTTCTCACTAATTTACACTTGCTCTTACTATTTCACACATTTACTCTGAATTATTTACTCACTATTTCTTCTAATTTACTCACTCAGTTTCTTTCTCAGTCTAACTCACTCACTAACAATTCTCGCTCAGTCGTGATTGCCTATCATCACTTAGCGTTTACGACAATACCTATGTTTATTTTCTTTGCATGTGTGCTGGCATTTGCTTCACTCACTCATTCGACATATTATATATATTAATAGCTCTCTTTTTCTCCCGTATTCAGACACACACACACACACACACACACACACACACACACACACACACACACACACACACACACACACACACACACACACACACCACTAACATTCTCACTCATTTGTAATAATTTACTCACAATTCTCGCTCACTCTTATTAATTACGTCCAATCAATAGCGTTTGTGATGACTATCTTTGTTAATTTTCTTCACATACATGCGGGCATTTCCTTCACTCGCTCCCTCTTTCTTTCCAACTCACTCAATAACGCGCTCTCTGACTCTCTATTTCACCAAATGCTGTTTATTTACGTTGTTGCACTTTTCAATTGCGAACCACCAATTTTTACGGCGGCATATTATTTACATATTGTCTTGCAAAACGTACAAATTAGTGCATAAATTATAATAATAAATCTATTCTACAGATAGTTTTTTGAGAAGTTTCATCTCAATTTGTTGATGATTAACTCTTTCATAAGCTAAGACCAAAGACATAAACTCGTAGAAAGTACATCTTTGATTTTTTTAAACTGTAGTGTTCCTCTAGGAAAGAATATTTTTATAAATGTTTATTATGCCTCGAACTTTTTTTCTACGATTATTCCGCACAAATTGAAAACGTTGAAATTTTCCTTTATTTATCCTGTCTGTCATGGATGGTCGCTATTAACATAAAACGAAGACAAAATGAGTGTGTCGTAACATAATCTATCACATAAAGAATTGTCTTTGTTTATCCTTACCGAAAACACATAAGTTAATCAGGTTATATTACATATTTACATTAAAGTAACATAATAACACAAATTTTCGTTATGTTTTACAATTAACGTTATAGAATGTAGAACTTGCAGATATAAAGTCAGTATATCTAATAGTAGCAAAAATTACTTGTGATAATAAAGAAGTTTGTAATTAAAGTGTAAACACGATTTAATAAAATATTGTTGTGTCATTTTATCCCATATGGCATCACAATTATTGTTAACATAAAAAATGTTTGGCGTGAGTTTTCCAGGTGCTTTTCGCTTTTGATTATGTTTTTTCGTGTTTAAGTAAATACTGTCTTTGTTATTTTGGGTACGTCAGTCTCAGTACGAATCTGCTTGTTTCCTCACAATTCCAATTCGAGAAGGGTTTTATGAATAATGTTTCGGCGTGAGTTATCCCGCTGCAGAGAACCCGGGTTTATCATAGAAGAAAATATACTGTGTACACTTTGTTTTTAAATGGCCCGACTATTTTAAACCTCCTTTTCCTCTGCCAAACGAGTTGGCCAACTTGAACTTGTGATGTAGCCCGCAGTTTCAGTCAGATTGAATACTTTTTCAAATTTGCTTGGGAATGCCTTGCTGCCTTTAGAAACGCTCGCCTTTCATGAAATCTAGCGGTGAGCTTTTTTTAAAATTATTATTTACTTATCAATTCGTCTTTGATTTATAGTTGTTTTTTTGGTTTGTTGTTCAGTTTTACCGACGATCTGTTTTATAACGCATTTTCTCCATTTCAGGGGCGAATATGTTGAAATCGCCTGATCGCCGTTCGCCCTCCTGCTCCAGGGGGAAGACGATGAAGGATTTCGAGGAGGAGCTGAACACTCTCAGGAGGGAGAATTTCGATCTGAAAATGAGGATATACGTCCTCAATGAACACTTGGATCTTATTCAGAGTGTTGATAATGTAGAAGAAATTTACGAGACTCATACAAAACTAAAGGTAAGAATATAAAGGGGTCAATTTTTAAAAACCAAAAATTCCATTCTTTACTCCTGTGTTAAAAAATAAGTACTAACTTTATTAAAACATGAAATTTTCTCTTTGGAATTTTCATTTTTAAAAATTCTACAAATCATGTATTTTATATATAATTATTCAATTAATTATACACGATTTTTTTCGAAATGAATGAGCAGTGGCATATTTAGCTGAAAGTCGTGGGTTCGAATCCCTCCTGTAACACAAATTTTTCGTTTAGAAAAAATTGCGTATAATTAATTGAGTAATTATAATTAAGAATAAGTTGATAAAAATTATTAAAAAATTAGTATTTATATATAATAAAACATGATTTTTATTATATATCACTAAAACATAATATTGTTTTCCATAAACTTTGTTCAATCTGGTAAAATATATGTGATGGCCTATATTTTGCCTTATTACAAATTAAATGATTGTTGGTTGTTAGTTTTCAAGTCAGTGAAATTGACATTGATCTGTGATCACTTCACTGGATCCATCTACTCTTGCTGGTTTAAATTTCATGTCATCTTCAGTGAGAAGTGAAGTGCAAACATTTTTAACTGTATTCCATTGTTATTTCCTGATTTTTTGGTTATTTAACATTCATGTTCTCAACTTGGATTTGGAAGTTCATTAAAATTAGGTAAAAAGATTTTTTTTTTAAATTTTGTTTGTAAAGATGTACAGCAGAATAACTTGGTTTTTGTTTAAATTCGTGTTTATTCTAATGAATTTATTATTATATTTCATACAACTTATTTGAGGTAATTCAAATCTTTTTTGTATAGAAAGAAATCCAGAGCTTAAAAGTTGAACTGTCTGATAAAGAAGATCTAATATTAAAAACTGGTGAAGCTATGAATCTTTTGTCTAACAAACATCGAGAAGAAATCGCTTTACTTAAAGCAAAAGCCCAAGAGGAAGCAGAACAGTACCAGGATATTATATCACGGCTAAAGCAGGTATAATATAAAAACTTTATTATTTGGAAGTATAATTTTAAAACCTTTAATCAAATTTAATTTTTAAAAGGAGTATACACCTAGAAGCAAACTGGTGTTACCTTCTCACCGTCCCGAATTTGATGATTCTTCTGCTATGTATGCAATGGCGTTTGCTTTAAATGAAAACTTCAACGGGAATGCACCACAAGATCGTATTTTAGAAGAACAGGTGAAAGTTGAGCTTTTTTTAAAATTGTAATTATATTTCTTTTAGAGATCACAAATTAACTGAAAATTGTTGTAGGTATTGAAATTGGAGGCAGAGCTGGCTCTGAAATCCAAACAGATCGAGGAGGCCGATGAGAAAATTAAAACACTTCAAGAACAAATATCTGCACTTCAGGTTAACAATAAAACAACCGAAAAAGAGCTTAAATCCAAGGCTGATAAGCTGGAGGATGTTTTCAATGAACTTAGACAGCGTGAAATTCAAGCTGATGACCTGCACAAAAGGATATTTTCACTGGAGTCTTCGGTAAAAGACAAAGAAGCCGAACTTGAGGTAATTTGAACTTGCAAAGAGCAGATTTATAAAATAGATATTGCATTTACAACACATGTCTCGGTTCTAGGTTATGTCATTGAAACTGGAATCACTTAAGAGTGTGGAGGATACAATCAACACTTGTAAAAAACAACTAGATCACAGCCGAAATGAAAACGAATCTTTACAACATCGGGTAATTATTTGCTATAAAATTAAATATTACAATATTTTATCAAAAAGCATGATATTGATTGTTAAAAATTGAAGTTAATAAAATACCTAGTCCCGTTTTCCTTTTCTCTATTGATAGAAAATTAAATTAAATTGTTTGGATAGTGCAGTTTAATTTTCTTATTGATATTAATATTTATTTAACAGCTTACACAAGTGCATGTCAGAATGAATAGAAAATCTCTTCAAGAATATCGTGATCCAGCTATTATAGTTGAACCTCTTCAAGTATGTTTTTCGCTAATATAATTTTTTATTTGACTTAAAATAGTAATAATAAAAACGAAAAATAATAATAAAAAATAATAAAAAAGAATTGAATGATCATTTCAGCTATTGTATAATTCATTATGGCTTTTAATAATTCAGTTTAAAACTAATTTATTACATATACGTTGTTAATATTCAATAAGTAATACTATAAATTATGATTTGCGTCTTTGCTTTGTTTTCAAAACAAATAAGGAAAAACCTATGCTGACATTTCATCAAAATCTTTTTAAAAAGTTAGGTCTTATTCACAGTTAGTTGTTTTCAACCATATGGATTTCAAGCTTACAGCTCATCATTAGGTTGAAGGAATTTACAACCATTTTACTTGACGTGAATTGTAAGAGTGAACCCGTTGATCTCCCCCCCTCAATGCGACTTTCCAATGAGAAGCTGGTTTTTAATGCTGCTCTATTTTGAACGTGCAAAAAGCGGGAATTATAAAGCAACTAAATATTATGTTAATAAACACTATAAGAAAATAATTATAAATTAGCGATTAACTTGTGTTTTTATTTGTTAATTATTAAAAAAATTAAAATGATACATTAATCAGTAAAATGATACAGTAAATCAAAATAATAAAAATTAAATAAATTAATTTGTACGTCTAATAATGTTAGGCACATATTTAAAATAGGAGGTAAATCAAAACCTATTATATTATTAATGTATTTATCTCCATTTCAATTTTACATTTTTTTAATTTCAAATTTCTCAAACGAATCTTGTCGGGGCGTCGGTGCCCACAAGGTTTAGTCTTTGACACAGCGCTTATCACTGTAAGGTAAAGATCCCGGGTTCGAATCCAGCGGCCCTGCATTCGAACCCGACATACTTACAAATGGGCTTTTTTTCAAAAACACCGGCACCCTGAGGGTTTATATGACCTCTGCTGTTGCGAACCCTCGTAAAAAAAAAACACTTTTAACTTAATTATAAGTTCAATGGTTTCCTTACTTTTAATATTAAAATCGGACGTTACTGTTCTGCTGCATTACTTTTTCTCTCATATTCCCATTAAAGTGGGTGTCCCCCAGGGTAGCATCCTAGGCCCCTTCCTATCACAATATACGCCGAATTTCCTGTTTCCTTAACAATACAAAATGCTTTTTTGCTGGTGCCATCCTGTTATCTAATCCTCATCCAATCTTGGTCTTGCAAAGGGAGAATAAAGATTAACAAAACTAAATCCACCCACATCACCTTTACACTCTGAAAATCCTTTTGTCCTACAGTCTATATCAATGGAAAACCTATTCCAACCTTAGATATTGTGCACTTGGGATTATTCATTGACAAATGATTAACGTGGAATCCTCCAACAAACTGGAAAGACAGGAAACTAACTGATGCTATTCATTATTCCTTACATTATTTGACTATAGATGCAACTTACACCTTACTAACAAACACCATTTGCAAGACCTCGTAAGACCAATATGGACATACAGAATTGATGTTTGGGATTCAACAGAAAAAAAAAATCAAATCCAAAATATGAAGAAAAATGTTAAATGTCCGTTCTTTTCAAACCTGACAATCCACAATGGCCTCCAAAAACCATTTGTAATTGACATTATTAAATTCTGATACAAAAACTTGCACAAAAATTCAAACCTTTGCTCTAATCCAACTGCTTTCTTGTCCCATACATTCTTCCTAGCGAAAATCCAACAGGTGTGACCGAGAGATTGATTGGTACAATGTGATGGAGTGTCACTGCTGGGTGACTTCTACTAGGCTAAATTGTCACTATGTTATCTCATTTACTTGTTGCATCTAAAAATCGCAGTTTGAAAAATCATCATCAATAAATAAATTATATATGAAAAATTTAATTATAAATCGATGTTCACATTTATTTAAAGATTGTTGTCAGTTGGTTGAATATTTGTGACTTTTGGATCTGTTCAGCTAGAAAGCCTCTTAGTTTGGTTGAATTTTGGCATGATTCCATATTCTGGATTCATTAAGGTTGGGGTTTTAAACATATCAAAATTTTCATATTCCTTTTTTTCATTCTTTTAAAATTTAAAAAAGAAACAATTTTATACAATTTACAGGGTAATAAATTGAAATTTTGAACATATTATTTTCAATTGATTTTTTAACCCAAAGTATGGTATAGTAATAGTTATAAATTAATAGGCTATTAATATTAAAATTATTATAATATAAATGATAAAATAATATAAATATTACTAATAAAACAAACTATAGTACATAGGGATATTTGTTTTTTTAAAAAGTCTTTATTTGTCCTCTATGAATGTGAATGAATGCACTAACTTGTTTATGTTAAATGACATGTAGACACGGTAGAGATACTCGATTGGCTTGTTAATACTTATTTGTGTTTGTGCATGTACTTTAACATGTTGTGTGTGTTTTTGTGTGGTTTTGTACTTTGTAAATAGAAATGGAGAGAGAGTCTGCTGCCAAGATGTAAAGTGGTGGTGGTACGGTTTATTATTAAACCCTCTGGAGTTCAGTCTTCACTTCGAGTGTGGCACGTTTAGAGTTTCAACATATCATTCTGACAAGATTTAATTATTTTTCATAGCTGGTACATTCGTTAACGACATTCAATTTTACTGTGGTTGTGTTCTTTTAGGTGTTCGCAATCCCAAAACTTTGTATTTGTAGAGAGAGGAGAAATAAGTTGAAAAATGAAAAGAACAAAACGAATCTGTTCAGTAAACTTTGTCTTTACTAGCAAGACGAAATATTCTCATAATTGAAATTGTCATTTAAAATTAAGAAAGTAATAAATACGTTGTTCATAATTTTATCTTGTTTCTTCTTAATTTTAGTTTTTTTTTAGTGTCTTTACTTCAGATATTTAATTAATGTTGAATTTTTAATTTGACAGTAAATTTGATTTTCCTATGCTTATTAATCAATGTGCATTAAATTTTTTTCTATATTTTTATATATTCCTATTTCATAAAAAATACAAGCTGTTAAGCTTGTTTATGGTGAATGGTGGGAGTACTGGAAAGTCTGTCCGACCAGGTACCCTCTTAGTATGCAATTTGGATTGTTGTGGAGTAGTCGCAAATCTAGAAAATATTTAAATTATAATAATAAATATTTAATATCACATAATGTTAATATAACTTCTTATATTTGGACAAAGAATTAAATATATTTAAATAAATTAAATATATTTAAAAAATCAGGGTTTTTATGAAAAAAGGGGAAAAAAGTTGGTGCATAAAGTACACCAGTGCACGGACATATTTTAAACAAGAAGTCTCAAGGATTAAAACAATTTAAAAACTCAGATTAGAATTTAAAAAATTTATATACGGGATGACAGTAGACCTAGAAGTATTACTGGTCTCTAATGTTGACGGGAGATTTTTCATAAAAAAAGATTTGAGGTGGGGTGAGACTTTTCCATAATTCTGTTTTTATCATAACTTAACTATTCAATTTTAGGCTGCCTTCATAAAATAGTTTAACTATGTAATTTAAATTTAACCAATGGTGTTTTTCAATTCGGGACTAAATTTTAAATTTACTTTTGTATTTTTTGATTTATTCAACAAATAATGTTAATTTTCTACATTTCAGGTGAAACCGTCTTGTAAGACTTGCGTGGACAAGGCAAAGCTCGAGGAGAAAGTATCTACGCTTAAAGCTTGCATAGCTGAAAAGGAAAACGCACTCGAGGAGGCGAGGGTCGAACAGCACAAGACGATCAAAGCGCTCCAAGGGTTCATGAAAGCTAATAAAGCTTTGAGGAGGGATCTTGATAACCTTCAGGAACAGATGAAAAAAATGGATGAAAAAGAGGGGAACCGCAGCCGCACTGAGGTACCCAGAAAATATATTTTGAACAGATAAAAACGAAAAACTAGGGCACAGCTGATGCTTTAATCCGCAATGCATGTTGCTTTTTGCACTTTCTACAGATTAACACTTTTCCCAACTGCTTTTTATATGTAACGTTATTTGTATTATATACTATTTTCGTTTTAAATATTTATGCCGCTATGAACAGCTTATTATTATTTTTTGTTTGAAATGAGGCACTCATTGACGTGATTTTTGTAAAGACTTGTTTAGTCACACAAAATTTATACGAAAACCTACTATTGCTGCAATAAAAAGATTTTCTTATTACACATTGTTTTATTTTTAATTCCTGTTTTAACAACACTTAATTTTCAATAAATACTTTCACTTACATTAAGTTTATTTCCTGTTTTCTAAGTGAGCTAATATTAAAAAAAATTTGTTTAACCTTAGTGTGAATCTCTAGACAATTGTAACAATGTTCATACATTACAAATGCATGGGATTTACTGTTTTTCATGTCTGTTTTTTTTTTAAAGTTTAAATAAGTGCTCAGTTTCAAAGCCAGTTAAATTTTTTGTAATTTGGTTGCTGTTTATTTTGGTCTGACAATCCTTGCTGAGTTGGTCGTCAGATGCGCTTAGGTATTTTGTCATTTTCAGTGATTGTTTTTGTCTTGCCTCACCCTGCTTAAAGCCCTGCCCAACCACTGAAAATACTGGAATTTGGCTGATGGACCAAACAGCGAGGATAGGCAAACAACAATGTTTGATATAAATACAGATTCATCACCATGCAGACGACATTAAGAAGTCATATAATTTAATTTTTTTTGTAACTTTATTTCAAGTTTTTAATTAATTTATTAAAAAAAACACTTTTATTTAATCAAATTGTATAGTTAAATCATAAAACCAAACATAATTACTAATTAAAAATTATGAAGGAAATTTGCTTTAATACATGATGTAAATAGGCTTCACTAAAAAGACTCTTGTTTGCGAAAATTGGCTGTCTTGCAGAAGATTCACTTAGCAATTTATTTTGCTTCTACAATGCTAGTAGAAACCATTACAACTTTTGTCAACTGTTTAAAATTAAAAAGATTTTAAAAAATTAAGGTTAAACATGTTTTATTACAGTTTTAAATATTTTTGGCTTTCATTTTTACTACAAATCAAGTGTAAATTTAAGAAAATTTGTTTCTTTTTTAATTCTAGGGAATGACTGGGTCAAAATGCGATGAGGAATACATTAGAGACCTTGAAAGTAAAATTAAGGTAAATCATAAATCATAGGGAACTTTATAGCTGAACACGACTAATTCCCATTATTATATTTACTTTTAGACGCTAACGGAAAATCTGAAAGAAAGCGAGCTGAAATTAAAAGAGCTGAGTGAGAAAGATCCAGACGTCGAAAAAGAGGAAAGAGTCGAAGAGTTAGAGCATTTGGTTTCTACGCTCAAAGGGCAGTTGGATACTATCCTGACCAAGAAAAGCAAAGAAAACGAAGAACTTTCTAGTCTTAGGGCGGAGATCGAGTTAAAGAATAAGTCGATAGAACAACTTAATGAAGAGCTCAGAAAGAGGACGTTCAATTTGCAAGAGCTCGTTAATAAAGAGCTTTGGGATAAAAACAGGGAAATAGAAAAATTGAATACACTCTGTGAAAAGAAGCAGAATGAATCCATGGAACTGAGAACCAAAATGGAGTCGCAACAGGAAGAACTTATTGCTTTGAATGATAAAATCCAGGAACTGAGTGATAACATCAGCTGCAAACTAACCAAAAAAGATGTCGAAAAGCTCAGAGAAGATTATGAAAAAGAAAAAGACAATAATAAAGCCCTTTCTGAAAAGTGTAACAATTTAGAGAAAGAAGTGACTAAATCAGAAAAGGCCCGCAAAGAGCTTGTCAACGCATGTGTTTTGCTTCAGACGAGATTAGAAGAGTTGGTCTTCTTCATGGATTCATTGATACCATCGTTGGCTGGGAAAAACAGAAGGATATTACAAGAAGCAGTAGAAAGAAGTAGAGAAGCATCGAGGACATTAACACTTTCTGTGTTAGAAGATACTGTCGTACATACTCCGACTCCAATCTTGCCAGACTTTTCTCAAGTCGATTTCTGCTGCGATAGCTTCAATCTAAGTGCCAAAATTCTCAGCAAATCAAACCTGGCTAACCAGACACAAGAATCTGTTGTCGATAAACCGAGCGAAGATAATAAATTGAATGGCGAAGTCAAAGAGAGTAAAGCGAGCATTTTATCAAGCCTGAAGGAAAAAGACAGGATAGCGCTGAAAGAGCTTAACGACATGGCACAAAGTTTTGTCCTGGATGAAATGACAGAAGGCTCGATACCGGACTTCCTGACTGATGACACTGAACCTCAAATTGTAGACGACAACGGTAAGAAGTCACCTCCAAAAGAAATAATCAACATTTCTGAGTCTGAAGAGTGGTCAGAACCTGATCGAAACGTCTCTAAAGCAAGAATAGGCATTCCCAAGGAATCCATAAGTAAAACGTCTAATCCGGCCGATTCATCAGATCAGTCAGAAAACTCAGACAAACAAAATCCTTGTAAGTGTTTACTGCGTTTTAGTCAATTTTAACTTCCTTTCTTCTTTGCTTTTTTATTTATTTTCTATTTTAATTATTGTACATATAGTATATAATAAATGATTTTATATGGGGCAGTATGCATTTTCAATCTTTTGTCCCTCCACTTTTAATTTAAAGTTTAAAAGGCAGTTTGGTTCCTGTCTGTCCTTGATGGTGTTTTTTTACTTACTAAAGTTAGACAAATTTATATTCAAAAGTAAAATGAACAACGGCTGATCAATTATATTTTTTATTACTGGCCATGTGAAATATGATGAAATATTCCAACAATAATCATTATCTAGCATTAGCTTGCTCATCTATAGCTACCATACTTGAGTTTTTTATTCTGTTTTAATGTGTTAATTTATTAAGTTAATTTTTTCAGGAAAATTTAAATATTTCTTGAAATGTTGTGTATTATGTTTATATATCTGATTTTCAAACTGCCATAAATTTTATTTCAAAACACGCTAAACCCAAAAGCATCTGCATCATATTACAAATTACAATAACATTCCCCCCCCCCCGCCTATCTGCTTACAAGCAGAATTAACTCAACAATCGTACTCAACTGTTTTCAGCCAAACGTCGACACAAATCAAATGACGTCAGAAGATTGAATCTCAAGTTGAAACAATTAGGAAATGTCATTGAAACTTTAAGGCTGTCTCCTTCTAAAACTCAGCCCGATTCAAGTTTCACAATTCAAATCAATGTAATGTTAAAACTTAATTTTACTTATTGGTACAATAATTTAATGAGTTAATATTTGTAGGACCAAGTTTCGACAGCAAGTATCATAGATAAAATATCAGAAGGCAGAAATCATATCGACAGCTCGTTGAAACAGAGTGAATATGTTTTAAATCAAATCAAATCCCTGTCACTTGAAGAGGTACATAACTATTTAAAAAAAAAAAAAAATAATAATAATAATGCTGAAATGTTAAATTATTCAAATTACAGGCAGGAAGGTCGGCACTGGAAGAACAACTCTCCCTGATTACCGACAGCTTGACCAATCTGACCATGTTGTGCCAAGAGATGGAAAGTTTTCTGATCCAGGCCGAATCGGACAAGAAAGACCTTTGTTTGAAAATGTTCGACAATGACAGGAAAATAGATGGCATGAACACTTCTATCCTCAGGCTACAGTCGGAGCTGAAAGAGAAGGAAAACGAGGTACTGGAAAAACAGTGTGCTCTATTGGAACTTAAAAATGAGTATCTGATCACTGAGACGAAAGGAAAAAACATCGAAAGCAGACTGGCTGAAGCCAATGTCAAGCTCCAGGAATACCTTAAAAATGCGGATAAAGAAAAACAGGTATCAGTTGAAAGGCCTATAAAATAATTTTAATTTTTTGTCCCCTATTAATCTGCAATGTTAAATTTTTAAAATATGATGTTTTCTTTGTAATTCTTTTTTCAAAACTCCAAAGAAATATTATTACTGCAAACTTCTCATTTCATAATATACATTTTCTTAGTGTTTCTTCATTAACATGTTGACTGCATGCTTTCTGGGTGCAAACAACAACACACGGTCTGCTTCCCATTTAAACTTTTTAAATTTTTCCTTCACTTCACTCACTACACAATTCTGTTCAAAATTTCTAGGGCCGCCTCAGAATGGGCAAACATCACTGGCTATGGTCATTTCAGTTATTTTTTTTTTCAACTACGTAATATTTTTATTCAATGAAAACCATGTAATTTGCTTTTCTAGACACGTACTTGGTTATTTTAATTAATTAAATTAAAATAAAGGAAAAGTTATTGTAGAAAGTTGAAACGATTTTTATTAATGTACACATCCAAATTGAACAAATGTTTTGTGGGTCGCCTACTTTATGTTCACAACCGCGTCATATAATTTATATCATTTAAATAAACATAATAAAAATATTAATTATTTTTCAATACCAGGGAGCTATTTTACTTGGGTGGGCATATCAACACCAAGCAAAGGATGCAGTCAACATGTTTAAAAAAAAGAAATATTTATAGAAATACATACAAAAGTGTGAATCCTAGGTAGAATTGTTCATTGTTCTAGGTTTTTAATACAAATTAATTATTGTAGATAAGTAAGGAAAGACATGCCCAGGAGATATCCAGTCTCCAGCAGAAATTCAAGCAGAAGCAAGATGAGCACAACAAGGAAATAAATCAGCTGAAGATTTTGTTGGACAGAGCCAATGAGTCGATACAAGAATTGAACCTGGCCAGGCTGCGGAGCGAGGAAGAACACAAACAACAATTGGATTTGATAATGAAAGAGAGCAAAGCTACTCTTGACGATGAGATAAACAAAAGGATGGACGCTGAGAGGAAACTCGTCAAAAGTTACGAGATGCAAGCAGATTTGAGAAATCAGCTAGAAAATGAAATAACCAATACGCGAACGATAGGTTCTGCTCAAAGGGTAATTTTTACATTTTTTATTAGTTTAAAAATTGTGTACGTTTTTTCTTCTTCTACTATTGAGTAAATGATTTGCTGAGTTGAGTCTTTAGAAATTAATTTTGAAACGTACGTTTTATGATCAATGCAATCACTGTAAAATTTTGGTGTACTGCAACATTAATTCTTAGCATGGTTAACATGGTAAATATAATTTCAGCAAGGTAAAATGGCACATAAATGACACTATTTTTTTTAAACAGGTGGCAGGAAATAAATTGCACTTACTAAACTCACTTTTAATTAAAACATTCAAATACTAACATTTCTTAAATGCTTTTGCTGTAAACAAAAATAAAATGTTTCTAACAATTTAACATACAAATAATTTCACTTTTCTTTTTGGAAAAAAAAAAAAAAAAAAAAAAAAAAAAAAAAAAAAAAGAAAGAAAGAAATCGAGGCACAAAGTATACCAAAATCAAGGATTTAACAGGATGGATTAAACGTTGTACAAATAATTATCCTACTTGCTGATTTTATGTAATTGGCTATGAACAATTTACTAGTGTAAATATTTGAATTAACACCAAAAAACCAGTGATTATCTATTGGTGTTAGTAAATTTCTTTATACTGCAATTGGTGATTTTGTATCGGGGTCGTACAGAAAATGGAGTCCTGGTGGAGAAAGAAGTTACACGAATTGGAAGCTGCCTGTTTGGAGCGTGAGAGTGACCTGAGGCGCAGGCTAGACGCCGCGACCCTTTCTACCTCACAGGCAGTCCTCGAAAGGACGAGGCTGGCTAATGATAAAATTCGACTCCAGTGTGAACTTCGACGAAGAGACGATAATGCCCATGTGCGTGAACATAAGACGTGTAATTTAAACGCTAGAAATTTATATTCTTTTAATAGTAACAAAGAACTGCATGCTTTGCTTATCGACGTCGATTTTTATAGTGTGAATAAAACTGACTGAACCCATTTGTTTTGTTTTACTCTCTATTATTCATTTAATTTTTTGTGAGTTTAAAGAGAACGAATATAGAATGGCAAGTTTTAACAGGTTTTACAGATAATTAAACAACTCAATGAAATCAGGATTGATTAATAGTTAAAGCTAAGATTTTTAGCTCTTCGGTGAACACAATCAACTAAAAAACATAATTTTACTCATACATTTTGAATTTTACTTATTAATCCTTTATTCAACTTTTTGTCTGATTAAATAAATCTATACCCATAAATCAATTCATATTTGAACAGCAGTCTAGCTCCGGGCTGTTTTAATTAAAATTTATTGAAATCAATTTGAGATTTTTAGTTTTTATATTGTAATAAAATAGCCTGTAACTATGTTGGTACCTACTTCAAATTTCACATTATCATAGAATACATTTACAATGGAAATATGTATAGCTTCATTAACATTTATAAGGTTGAATATGAAGAATGCTGGCATTTATGCAGGAGTTGTTTTATCAGTATGTTATCAATACAACTAATTATTAGTTTTTCTTTATCATGTATGATGGCTTTAACAACCAGTTTTTTAAATTGAATTTTTTTAGAATCAATCAAAAAAATTATTGAAATCGTTCAATATTAAGTAGTTTTAGTTTGGGTTTTCCAATCGATAGAGAAGTGGTTTGTTTTCCTTTTGGCTTCTTTCTTTGTAAAATATATTTACAGGACCAGAAGTTGTTGGATAAGGTGAAGCATGTTTTTTCAATCTTTTGGCTTAATTTATTTTAGTTATAAGTTATTGTTTTTGCATGTTCCATCTGCATTCAGCATTTGCTCGATATTTTCTCTTCGCACGAAATAGTTGTCAAATGAACATAAAATTAATTTATTTTGTACAATTCTGTGTAAAAATAAATACAAATAAGTTAATAACATAAAAAAAACTCTCAGAATAATTTTTAATACAGTTTCACGTTGATTGGTACTATAGTGTTAAAATGTAAAAATTATTTTTAATAGGCGTTTCATGCGGATTTGTAAAAAAAATAGTAAATATGATTGATGTTGGTTTCATTAGGATGTAAAAGCTGCTTTGGAGCAAAGGGTGACTGAGCTTGAAGAGGCGAATAACGAACTTGAGAAGAAGCTTGCATGCATCAGGATGCCTCGGTCTGAACCCGGTTCGCCAACTCATAATTTTAACAGACAGAGGAGTAACCCTACATCAGATTACACTTCTGATCCAGATCATCATGTACGTTTTCTTGTATGTTTTGTGTTCTTGTTATTTTAATCTAATTTAATTTTTTAAATTATAAACAGGGCAGCAGCAACAACATTTGGTTTCCAGTCTGCGGCCGAAATAACAATAATTGCTCCCCCGATCTAGGAATTGAAAGTGACCAAGGAAGATTGTCGAGCCTCGATGCGATATCCTCACCAAAATCACATGGTATGCTGAATTATTGCATTTCAATTTACTCTCTTATAAGTCATATTGTGAAACTTATGCTTCAATATTATTTATTAAAAAATATGAGAAAAGCTTTCTCAATTGTAAATGAAGCTAAAATCTTTGGGTTTTACTCTATCAACTAATGTCAGTTGGCTTTTTTCTTCTTTTTTTGCCCACGTGTGTTCCTGACTGTCTGGATCTCATGGTTGGAATCATCTATGAATGGTCTCAGCCAAGGTGAGTTTCAGACACAGCCTTGCGATTTCATCATCAGAATAGAAATCGATTGCGCACAGAGAGCTGCATTAATTAATCCATTGTAACAGTATTAATTCAATTATGGCAACTGGAAATAACGATTTTCACAAATCACTTCCATTAACCTTTGTTGTCATAGGCATAAATAAATATCAGACATTTTTAGCCTGCTTTTGTGTCACAAAACATGAATAATCTGACGGTGCATATTTTAAAATGTAAATATTTTATTAAACTCAGCTTATAGCTTTGAACTTTCACAATCCCATTCCAAATATTAAAAATGATTTAAAAAAATGCATTTTATTGAGAAATGTTTAACATTTTACTTATATCAATCGGAAAGTTTAACCTAATCACTAAAAACACCATAATTATTTCTGAAGAAATAGAGTAGAAAATTTGTCCCTTTTAATTTTGGTTATTTTAAAAAAAATAATTAAAATACTTTCAGGGAACCTGGAACAACTGATATCAGAAAACCGGGATTTGCGAGAGCAGCTCGACAAGACTAAGCACGCACTGAGCAAAGCGTTGAACCTCCTCGACGATTCGAAAAAAGTGAAAAAGCTGGTCGAGAAGGCGATCTGCCACCAGATAGTTGAAACCAAACATATACTGACAAAAGCGAGGCTAAACCTCCAAGCACCTGAGCCGAATCAAGTTTCGTGATAATCACAGTATTAACTGCTTTTGAACAAGTGACGTACATAGAGTTGTACATCACGTATATCTGTGATCTCCAAACCTCACATTGGTTTTCTTTTTTTAACCAAATGTGCCAATCTTTTGTGTTCTTCATTCATTCATATTTTTTCTTTTTCTTTTAAGTTCGGATTATTTTATATTAAGCTAATTTTTTAAATAATCGTTTAATCCTAATCTGTGTTATTAACATAATATGTAAATAAATAAGTATTTTATTAATAAATAAAAACTTTTAAATATGTTATTTTTTACTTGTGACCTTAATTTTTGTTCTAAATTCTAAGTTATTTTTGGCTGCATTGAAAATAAATTAAGCTATGAGTGTTGTATATTATGTGAAAATGAATGTTCATATATTTGTTAACGATAAAAACAAAAACTGCTGCATCGATTTCGATGAAACTTTCATACCTTGTTTTTTTTAGTGCCGAGCAGGTTTAGAGACTATAAAATGGGCATATAACAAATATACGAATATACAAAAAAAAAATCTGGGATTTGTGGTGTCCATTTTCACTTCTGTTTTTTCAGCTGTCAGCTGCCCAGAACCGGGTCTTTCCCGGTATGATACATTTTTTCAAATTTCGATTTGCAGACGCTAACACTCAGTAGACTGATTTTGCTGACAATTTCACAGTTTATTCTTATTAGTCCCAGGAGTGTTTTGAGTGTATAAAAAGGGCATGAATTATTAATAAGGAGTGACAGGAATGACAAGAAATGATAAATGATACCATTTTGCTATAATTATGCGTTTCCCTTGTCTTTCAAATCTGCGATTTGGAGGCAAAAAAAAAAAAAAAATATATATATATATATTCACAATAATTAATAAAATGGTTATAGTTGCAAAACTGCTGATACTTTATAGTCGCAAAAACTACAGAATTGGTTTTGTTGATGTAAAGATAGGAAGATAAAAGTACAAATTTCACTGTTGTATCTTTACAGATACAGGCAGCAGTGGTGTAGGTAGGAGAATGAACTACCAGCATGTGGTGTGACCGCTAAATCATCAGAGTTGAGAAAAGTCTCCAAGTGAACATTTATTTAGTGTACAAAGATACTACAAAAACCAAATTTGTACATTTTACAGGTATGTGTGCATGAACAATTGTAAATTAAGTAGAATATTAATAAACATTATTTTACCGAATTCATTTAAATTAAATGGTTAGGGTCAATTATGACTGCTAAACATACATATTTGGATTAATATAATAATTAAAGAAGTAATTACCGCTCGTGAAACCGACTTTTTCATCTCAACCAAGGCCTTAGTTAAAAAGTATAATTAATTGAAATAATATTAATATTTTTACTAAAATTCAAAGGAGAGGATGTGCTAACGCAACATGTACCAATGATACCAACAGAACTTCCTTTCCATTCCAAACGATAGTAATTTCCAATTAAACTAGCTTTCACAGAAATGATAAACAAATCACAACGTCAATCATTGCTATTATGTGGATTGAATTTGGAGAATTCATGGTTTTCTCATGGACAATTGTCTGTAGCTTGCTCCAGGAAACCAAGGGATTTGTTGTTTGTATATATGCCAAATGGAATCACCAAAAACATTGCATATGCAAGAACAGTATGAATATAAAATTTTCATCTTGTAAAGCGGTTTGAATTAAAATTGATTCGACAAAAATGAAATATATTTTTTATACTTTTTTTTCTTTCGTATTTTTTTATCTTTAATAAGAAAAAAATGCTTATTCACAGTTGGGCTTTTGGAGAGGGAATAAAGATGTACATATATCTAAAACTAATTCTTTGACATGATCACTGCAGAACCTATTTTGTTTGATGAATTTATCTGGCAGATATTTTTTGAGTTCTTCACTTTATCGGCAGGTTTTCGTTTCTAAATCCTTGTCAGATGGTCTTTAAACCTAGCCATGGCTGTACTTCTGCACGTCTCAAAGTAACTGATGACATCCGGTTAGGCATATAACATGGACTTCCCAAGGGCCAGTACATCTTCATTTCTCTAACGCCTTTGGTTCAATTTCATTCATAGATCACATCAAATTCTCATTAACAAATTACCAACTATTTTTAAGTTTAGGTCTCATGCGTGCATATGATCCCTTTACTTTCTAATATATTCAAAATGTCTATACTAATACTGTAATTCTTCCTCTAGACATTTGTTAATGATGTTCCTCAAGGGTCCATCATTGGACCATTGTTATCTTCCTTTTACATACATGATATAACCTCTTTCTACTGTTCCAAATTCGTCTATTTGCAGATGTTTTCAGTATTTGTTGAGTTGCTAGCTTTTATTGATATAATTAATGATGAAATTTCCCACATTGTACAGTGGGCTAATCGTCTTAAATAAATCCTCAAAAAGCGGCTCTGCATTCGAAACCGACATACTTCCAAACGGGCTTGTTTTTCCAAAAAACGACATTCTGAGGGTTCATACCTCGTAGTTTAAATACTCTCGTTAAAAAAAGGAAAAAATATAGAAATTATCTATCCTACGACCGCTCACGGAAGCCATATAGCAATGACAGCGGCATAATAGTTTACTATTCTCTGTTTTGCCTTGGGCAGTTTTTTGAGTACTCCAGTATTTTTCTATCGTAATTATTTGTACCATTGTTTAGTTTTTCCTCGTCTTCTGATGAAAGGTCTCGATTATGGGCATTAACTATAAATGTAATCGTTTTGCATTTAATCTCCTCCACGCTCTCGTATTTCGGGACAAATAAATTTATTGTTGGCTGTCATAATGAGACCAACCCCTTCTTACTGAGTTGAAAATTGATTTTTAAAATCCTCCAACTCCTAGAAATATAGCATCCTGAATAATTGCTTACTCAGTTCACATTTTCATCTTGATCTAGACTTTACCACCTAACACTTGTACTCAGGCATAACCCAGGTCATTTGTGATAGCTGGGTGCGGATTGCTTGGAACAGTCTGCCGTTGTATACCAAGTCACTGACCACATCAACCTTCCTTTCTAGATTTAATTTTCTGAACCTGACCTGCCCCTCGGGCAATGAGAAAACTCACGCAATGCCCTGGATAAAAGCCGGCAGACAACGCCCCCGAAACACGCCTTGGCCCCCCAGCGAGACAGCCGTAAGCGTCGTGATAGTAGGAACTGGTTATTCACAGGACGCCAGGCCGATATCACTTCACCTCCCAACAAGAGACAAGTCTGGTCACATTCACACCCGTAGAGTACTTGATATTCCTCGGTGCTGACACTATTTTTACTTTAGCTTTTATGCCACTGTTGCAAGTCGAATATGCATTGGGTTGACCAAATATGGTGGTAGATCTCTCTTCACCTGCGCCCCGGGATATCTCCCTCAATAGGTACAGCTGCCTTATATTGAAAAAAGGCTTGATTGAATAAATGCTCCAATTTAAGGGGTTGTACTCTTGGCTTAAAATCAGTTTTATTAATCACAGTAGTCTTCAAGTAGGGTAAGAACGTCGTCGGGCTGGCTCGTAGGTCTTGAAGGCGTTGAATCGCTGGAGGTACTCTGATGACATACTTCTCGGGAAGACTTAATTTCCAAACTCAGACCCCTGGGATTGACGTATTTCATCTAACTCACTCTCTAACTCAGATTCTCCCTCTAACGTTAATTCAAGTTCTAACTCAGTAACTCACGGTCTCAGCTGACTCATTGTCACTGACTCGTGGTATCTGCATCTGACTCCATCTCACTTAACACTGATCATCACTAACTCACGGTCGCTGCATTGAACTCGCTCTCAACTGACACTCACAGCCACTGACTCAAGGTTTCTGCATCTGACTCTATCTCAACTGACACTGAACAATACAGATTCATGGTTTCTGCATCTGGCTTCATGCCAACTGAAATTGATCGTCACTGAGTCACTATCTAGCATCTCACTCCAGCTCATTGACACTAACTCACGATCCCTTCATCTGACTCACTGAGTTACTGTCTCTGCATTTGATTCCATTTCAACTGATACTCACTCTGTCTGACTAGTTTCTGCATCTGACTTCTTGGTAAAAATGGCGGCGCGTATTAATAATAAACTCACTGACAGCAGGGTTACTGCAATCAGGGGAAAAATCTGACTTCATCTGAGCTGACACTGACTCCGTCTAAACTCAGTCTCTGGCTGACTCTCGACAAAACCTCCAGAGAGAATGTTGGATGAATTTCATAACTTAACGAAAAACTGTTTTTAATTGAAGTTCTACTCGCAGAAAACAACTTCCAAAATTCGAATCGCTTCTCGCTACTGCTGTTTTATATTTAAGTAGCTGATACCCTGCGAGCAGCAGGGTAAAAATTGAGCAGGTGGGCCAAAGGGTAACTGCTACATACGTGTGCTGACGATACCAACAATCATTGGATCAAACGAGTTCATAAAAGTTATATAAAGTCGGCAACCTTTGTGCTAAAGAGGTCGCATTGCATTACCTAGTAATTATGGTAATGTAATACAAATTTGGGATCTGGCGCTTACCAGAGTTTTGGCTAAGCTGGAGCAGGATGTGACATCTAGGAGTCGAACTTACCATTTTAGGATTTGTTTGTATTTTGATTATCTACCATCGCTTCCTCTTCTTCGATACCCCTTCCCATTTTTTCCCAAATCCATTACATAAAATGTCATTAGAACAGGCGGCCAAAAACGGTTTCAAATCAATATTTGGTTCAACTCGCTCGGTTCAAGCGTTCTTCGGTTCGGACTCCCAAAACTTCGGCCTCCAAAATAGTTAAATAGTTCCGGCTGGTTGATTTCACATACATTTCATGTACATCACAAAAATATTCTAGTTTTGTTTGGCCATCATCAATTAACAATTAGCAAACATTCAAAAATTCCTTGTAGCATTAAGTACATCGAACGGTGGCGTCCTTTCGAGTCGCTTCCTTTTTCTTGATGTGGAAATGCTTAATAATCTGTTATTGTTGAAAACGATCCAAACTATTTCTCACAGTTATTCTTCAGTTTCAC